ATAAATGGCATGGAAATATGAAAAACAAGCATTTATTTTCTTGTTTTCGCAAGTTGATATTGTATACGGTTACAGCTGAAATAAACAGTCAAAGTCAAAGTCAAAGCATTTATTTCAATTAAACCATAATTTCGTACTTTTGAAACGTCAACATAAAAACGTCATAAAAATATTGTAATCGGTAATGTCGTGGTGGCCCGCTGTTGCCGTGGCTGCTCGTCGGAAGTTTAGGATGCCCGCTTATCATGCATGAGAGTACGGGTTCGAAATGTACCAACGGCAATTACCAATGTGACTTTTTCCGAGTTATAATTTCCATAATTGGAATCTTTGAGTCCGCCAATCCGTGATTGAGCAAGCTTGGTGATTAAACCTTCTCCGTGCGAGAAGAGGTTTTTGGTCAGCAGTGGCCACTTATAGGCTGTTCATGTGATGGGATATACATCGGTTCTACAAACTTTATCTCTTCATAATTTTAATGTAGGTAGATAGTACAAAAAATGGGAGCTGCGGACGACTTGGCGTGATAAAGAGGTCCGCGCTCGAAACAAGAGTAGGAACGGAGTGATTTTTCTCCAGTAAAGCCCCCTACGCACTAACGGTTGACCGCCGAGGCGGTTCGTATCGACAGAGGCGGTTGCGTACTAAATTGAAAAGAGGTTAACCGCAGAGAGTGGTTATCCGCGCAGTTGACTGCCAGTGCGATAGGAAGCTTATAGTTTCACAGGCAGAAGAAGACATTTTGATGATTTTACTTTTCCAAAAAGGATAGGTAGTACAGATAGATAGATACTTTAATAAGTATCTTTCTTCAACATGTGCCTATTAAGTTTATTAAATATCACAGAAGTATTTCGTTTAGGTCAATTCTATTATCCTTGGGTAACAATAATGTTTAAATATCTCGTATACAATCACACCAAACAAACAAATGTAAGTTCAATTTCTATAGATAGGTAAGTTGAGAATTCTTTGCATATTTTGTGAATCATACTTTTTTACTTAAATGTATTTATGCGCTACATAGTATCACTAGTTTATACAAAGAGGGTAGATCTCAATATTAATTAAATAGATATTTTTAAGGGAGGAAAATCATCGAATGACTGCTCCCGCCTGGGTGAGTCAAGAGGGAGTGTCAGACTCTTACTGACTAAAAACCACCCCGTTCCTTCTCCTGCACGTCAAGCCGGAGCTCCGGTAACCCGTTAGGTTCTCCGCGACAATTAAATAGGTATGTAGTAGTTTTTTGAAATTTCCAAAAATCCTAAATTATATCCAAAAAAAATACTATAAGAATTAGGTACTTTGCTTAATCAAAAATAAATTACTTCGACTGTTCAATACAATAAAATATTAAAAAATAATCACACTTTGTTAATTGATTTTATTACCAACCTAATTTTAATATTTTGCCTACCCAATTTTCTAATAAATGAGTATGCTGTTTGACTCTAATAAAACGTGACGTCACAATACACAATCTCGTACAAAATTCATAGAAAACTGTCGTTTTTGACAGTTCGAAAAAAAAGTATTGAATTTGATTAGTTGGCAAGTACCCAATTATTCAAACGAAAAAGAAATAACTTTCAATTTTGTCTGAAAGTCTTTATGCTGTTTTTTCAATCATATATCCAAATAATAAAAATCGCGGTTATAATTACTCACAACTGAAAATAACCAAGTATTAAGTTAAAACAATGAAAATGTACTACTGCAGCATGTGAGCGAGCGACATATCGTTGTAGTACCGTCAGTTTACTAAACTTATTTTACACCTAACGAAACCGCATCGAAATCCGTAGCGTAGTTTTCAATATTTAAGCAAACATAGGGACAGACAGCAACTTTGTTGTATACTATGTATGTAGTGATGATAAATAATTCAAGAAGGGTTTAAAAATAAAATTATCTTATACCTAAATGTTTGATTGTTTTTTTTGAAGTAGACAGAGAAAAAACCCAGTGGGGATATGGGGCTTATTGCGCTTTGGTGAAATGGTACTTTATATTGAGGTGTTTTCTAATTAATAAGGAGATTGAGTGGCTGTGCCCAACAAACCCACAAACCCTTCACAATTTGGCTATGAGTTACACAAAACATTCTCGAGTCCTAGGGGAGCCTTGTGGAGAATTACAACAGAAACGCTAGCTCAGTTTCTGTACGCGGCTTAAAGTAAAAAAAATTAAAAACAAAAAGTCTGTATAGTAGAATGCCAAATTATTTCCCGTAAAAAACTAAGGAATAAAAACCCAGCCCTAGTAATTATTGGAACTCAAAGATTATTCAATTACGTTAATCAACTAGGGTTTACAATTCAATTTATTTTTTATCAGTACATGTCATCTACCTAGTATAGGTACTTACTATCTATGAATATTGGACTGATAGATAAGTGGTGACATTGACCGTCATCGATACCATCGTACCACCTCCTATACAAACAAAATAAAAACATACCTACAAATAATATTCTAATTCAAAAGATCTGAAAAGTAAACACTGAATAAAAGATTTCAGCAGTCCCCGTTAGAACGATTACTATTTTTGTAACCTTCCGCAAGTAAATGACATTTACTTCCGTGTCCTACAATCTAGTACCTACTACGTACAGGAATCAGGAGGCTTCACTTTGTCCGCACTCTGTATATCCTCTTAAGCGTTAGAAGTTAATGTTGGTAGTGACCAAGCACAAAGCCCGTCCAATAATATTTTAAGGAGATCCAAGATTCAACAAAAATACTTCACTTTCAGATAAAAACATTACCTTACATTTAAGAAGCATGTCGCAACGTAAACTATTTATAGCTCTTAAGGGTAAAGGGTTACATAATATATTCCTTTCGCAGAATATATGTACGCAGTAATGAATGTAAGATACAGTCAATAAGGGTTTTAATAAGGTCAAGGGCGGGGGTTTGCCGGCTGTCAGCCGTGAGTCGCCGGTTGGTGCGCCGAACTCGAGGCGGACATAATATTAAAGATTCACAATACAATTTTGGCGATCACCGGCATCGCACGTACCATGTGTGAGCGAAAAATTTACGTATCTTTTTAAAGATTTAAGTGTGCGATATCAAGATTAATTGTTTATAAACTATTTTATTTTAATAACTAGTGAAGTGTTTTAAGTTTCAGACTGAAAGTGTATTACATAAAAGTGAGTTTTTTTTATTATTTTTGTTACACAATGTAGGTAATGTAATAATAAGTGAAAGGGATTTTCGATCGTATTGGTTTCAGATAAAGTTTTGACAGTTACTTTTGATTGATATTATTGTGGGAATCACCGAATTAAATACGAAATTAAAACGTTATTTGCTAAACGTTGTGTTCAAATACGGTAATAGCGAAGTTTCTGTTCCCTCCAAAATAATAATCGGCAGAATATTTTAACAACCTAAAAATTTCAACAATTTAAGAAATACTAAATTTTAAACATGTATCACGCTATTTATCCCCGAAGGGGTAGGCAGAGGTGCACATTATGCCACTGTACAATGTAACACCCACTTTTCACTATTTATGTTATGAGTCCCTTGAATGAACAAATTAAACATGTTTCTACTTTTAAAATGTCCTAACAAGGTTTTTAATTAAAGTTACTTAAATAGTAAATAGGAATTTATTATTAATAGAGAAAATACATTTTGGAGCTAGAAGCATTTTCAGTATGATCTTTGATCCGCCTAATCTTCTTTATCTTCCTAAAATTATAAAATGGCTTAAAATTACAATATTTTTAGTCTACCTCTATATCACGGTTTTTATGTCCCGAAGGATCAAGCAGTGTACTTACCTAAAATACTCGATAAGCAAATTGCACGAAATAAAATACAATAAACCCGGAAATAAATAAGACCCGGATCTATTTCTAAGGAATTCGACAACTTTGAAAAACACTAATTACATAATATGGAATGAATTCGTTCTACCTTCAACTTATCGTCTGGAAATTATACAGTTAGTTATCTTACCTATTACATAAGACTGATACTTATCCATACTAATAGTTTAAAAATATACTCTAGCCTTAGCTGAATAACTCCGCTTATTCTGAAAGGATAGTCAAAGTTACAAGTACCTACCAATAACTAGTGCAGCCTTTTTTAATGATCATGGTACGCATGGTGTACTCATAAAGCCATGCACAGACCACCGGTCCTATGTATTAGAGAGCAAGCCCATTACCATAGACAGCATAATTTACAATTTCCGCTGCCTTAGCCAAACTAGTATGACCATATTTGTGATAATTGTATAATAGTCTATGTCGATGACCCATAATTTGAATTCCTAATAGCAGCAGTAGGTAGAAACCTCTAAAAATAATACAAATAATAAATAATTCAACATACATGAAAACTATATGAATACAAGCCATGTTATGCTATGCCATTTCCATAATATAGGAGACCGACGATGGAAATTGAATTGTACTTCTGCTGAACATTACGCATATAAATATCATATGGGGTAAGCTTATGTTTTATGTTTCTAGTTCGCTTTTTCGTCAGTCTAATCTACCTCGAGCTTAATGGAAACGTTCCTACTCATTTATATTAAGTTAGAAATGTAACCATTTCTGAGGAATTTTACCAACTGTATTTTTTCATTTTACCCACTGTAGGCAATTTATTCTCTGGCGGCACACCTATTCCGCGAAGGCCTTTAATATCATGTTGCCGGGCAGCATTATGGGTACGACTTCTTTACCATTGGCAAAATAAATGTAAATTCAGTTGTTTGATCATTTTTTCTCGGAGTTTAACATTTCACAAGAAATGTAATGAAAAAATAAAAGATGCGTCTTTTCTGCTACGCCCACCTTTTTATCCCTAAGTTTGGTAACAAAATGTAAAGGGACCGTTATTTATACCGTTACGGGAAGTTGCCGTCTTTATTTCGCTCGTGTTAAGGAGGATTTTCCAACATTTTTTCTAGCTACCTCCCGATTTGGAGCGTAAACTGTAAAATTGTATTTCATTGGTTTCAGATGAAGTTAATCATATCAACGATCGTGCTTTTAGCAGCCATCTACATAGGGTACAAGTTTATGTTTAGAAAACCATCGAAGCTACCTGAATTAGATCTTCAAAAATGGTGGGGTGCCGGCGTTAGGACTGAGGGACAAGATGATTCGATTAGGCCATTCAAGATCGATTTTAACGATAGTGTAAGTTAATTAACTGTTAGAAAAAAACAGTCACAGTTTTATCAGGCAGAAATCGTAGTGTCTAATATGCCTAAATTGTCTACCTCGGGGTATTTAACAGTTTGCGCTTGCGACCGTCGACCAGTTTTAGTGCCTTGATAACAATTTAAATTTGTAACATACCATCGCGTTTATATGCATGTAAAATGTATGCCTATAGACAGTAACGACATTAGTCAAATTGTAATAAGAGGCCAGTCTATTACCAAGCACTGGATACAATTCCAGACGTACTGAGAATTTCGCAATCGAAAACCCAATGTACCTCTAAAGATAACTTTGTATTTGTAATAACAACTATTAAGCACTTGGGTATTATTCTGAATACCTTAATAATTTATAGTATTAGTTTAATACCTTTTAGTAGAAATTTTTAGGGTCATATGATGAGAAATCTATTTCTATATCCCTTAACAAAACTCTTGTCTACATACATACATAACATAACATCACGCCTTTTATCCCCGAAGGCGTGTGCATTACGGCACTTAATGCCACTGTACTCTTGTCTACGTTTCTGAGAAATATGAATATTGATTAAATATTTTACTTTACAGATGATCGCAGACTTAAGACAAAGGTTAAAAAACCGACGTCGGTTTACAAAACCACTAGAAGGCACACAAGCACAGTACGGAATGAACACAGATTACTTAGAAACCATTCTGAACTATTGGGCCAACGACTATAACTTCAAAGAGAGGGCAGAACTTTTGAACGCATTCCCTCATTTTAAGACAAAAATTCAGGGCTTAGATTTACATTTTATTCATGTTAAACCTAAAGTAGACGATAATAAGATAGTTCTGCCGCTACTGATGTTACACGGCTGGCCAAGTTCGTCCAAGGAGTTTGCTAAAGTTATACCCATTTTGACTGCACCAAAACGTGGATATGATATCGTTTTTGAAGTGATCGCTGTAGACTTGCCTGGGTATGGGTATTCTGAGGTAAGAATATAAAAATTACGTTACAACTGTATCTTTTCTGAAAGGAAGACAGGTTATTAGAAGACACAATTTTCATCAGTCGATTTCTTTTCAATTCGGACTTGTCTGTTACCATTTGCTAGGAGGTTCTAACTCATTTGTTGTTTCATTTAAGTATGTTATTGATACATAATATTTACACTTACATGTAAATGTGTTATTAGGTAATAGGTAATACAATTCTCGGTCAAAATAGTCTTCAATGGAAACTTTCAAAATAACAATTTTTTTAAATGTAATTATTAAATAGATGTAAATGTATTTAAAGTCTCTTAAAATCTGAATTGGAATGACTACCTACTCAATAAAATAAAAAAATAAAAATTCTATACTAGCTTTTGATCGTGGCTGTGGTCGTGATGAAGTTGTGTTTATTAATTTAATATTAGTTTTGCCGGTTACCTATGTAGAAATGATCGGTTGCTTTATAAATTGTCACAGATTGAATTACACCACATGGTTTCAGTGCGGAGTATTTGGTTTGTGTAGGTAACAATGCAGAAAAAATTCTCCATGTTTTACTTTTACAGAAAAAATGTAGATAGATCTCTGTACCAATTAAAATTGTTTCTATTACGTGTTCCGAACAAACAAATTGGCTTTCGTATTTATAATTTTGCATTAGGATTCACACATTCCATTACTATTTTAATACAAGTATTCGCGGCGCTAATTGTGTTTTTGTATGTATATCGTCAAACATTTCGTGGTGAAGGTCACCATCAAGGAAATGGTATTACGTATAGTATATGAAATCGAGAATGCGATAGAATTTAATTGCCTACGGTCCAACGTAGAAGTATAAAGCGGGACTTAGATATAGTTTTTAAGGATTGAGGAGCGAAATTTATAACCGATTTACGACTTATTTCTAATTATTTTTTATCAAAAATCTAGATATATCGATGAAAAGAATTTCGATTAAGTTCCATTTTTCCGGCCGTATGTAGTAAAAAATCTTACAGTGCCGTTCGCCATTGTACATTTTTGGAGCTCAAAATAAGTAACGGAGGAATACGTAGGAAGAAAAATATCCTTAGACAACACAAAAAATACAAGTGCAGTGGATAGCCATTTTAAAATATTGCATCACAAGTCAATGAGACTAGACGAATAAGTAAACACATAAAAAAACACGATCATGCAACATTGTACAAATGTATATTTTTTGTATGTACAATTTACATGTATGTGAAGTTTATGGGACTTTGATTCTAAAGAGCCTTCTATCACAGCCTAGTTATTATTAGGCACATTCGCTAATACTAGATTTTTTAAATATCTTGTTGAGTACATATTTATTTGCCACACTCTTGTTTTTCTTGAATATTCATATTCAATAATAATATAATACTTTTTACAGCTATCTTTTTGTACATGTATCTAATTATCTAAATTATCTCATCATGACAAAACTGTTTTAGCATTATTAGGTACCCTTCACGATTTTTTATCATGATTTTTTGTATTACAACATTTTTTTAAATTGCTGATCTCATCATTTCGCGTCATAGTAACAGCTAAAGTAATGGCTTTTCAAACTTAGTGATGAATTTAACTCTCTGATTTATGTAATTTGAATAACTAATATTCAATGCCATGTGGTTTAAGAACATGACGCGTAACTTTTAATTTCTGTTTCGGTTTTAACCTTCACAGGAGTCGATACAGTAAATTCAAGACAAACGTTTATTTATCAGTTATATGAAACCCACTGCCATAAAAGGGTCTCAATTTTCTGATCAGTAAGGAGCATTTACCGATCAGAAAATTGACCTAAATGTAGTATGTTGCCATCATTGAAACGGATTTTTTTTCTTTTTCAGGGAACGAATAAAAAAGGACTAAACCCGGTGCAGATGGCAATTATAATGCGCAACTTAATGTTCAGGATTGGGTTCACAAAGTTTTATATTCAGGGAGGAGATTGGGGCTCACAAGTTGCCACACACATGGCTACTCTTTTCCCAGAAAATATATTAGGGTAAAGTACAATTTTTATCAGATACACTAAACTAGACTGACATTACCAAATAGTTGAACAAATACCAATCATAGTATGATTGATTAATTCTTATCTTAGTATCTTATCTTATACTGCTAACACCATCTATATCGTCCCACCGGTTATTCCCCTAAAAGGCATGTAGAAAGTAAAATTTCGGCCATTTATGTTGAATAGTCCCATATAATCTCGGATTAAGCAGTTCGCAAATCAATTAAGGAATATACTTTGCCCGATTTAGAATCTCGGGCTCAGAAGAACTTCCAATATCACCTTATTGTCTTCTATATGTAACTTAATTTTTTTTATTAAAAAATTTGACATAATTTCAGGCGGCTGCAAACATTACGCTATTTGATTTAATGTGGTTCTGAATTCAACTGTTCTGTTTGTTTTCATCAATCAACTATTCGCAAGTACGACTATCATTCAATTAATTGATGGCATTGCGTATTTCATTAGGAATTTTTCAATAGCAGTTGCCCAAAATTTGACCTTGGAAACAGTCTACTTGTGTTCCCCTATGCCTCAATTTATCATTTAAACCTTGTTTATTTTCCAGATATCACTGTAATATGCCAGTATCGTCAAGGCCAATAAGCTACGTCAAGTTACTGATTGGATCATTGTTCCCAAGTCTTATTGACCCAGTTGCCCATACAAGAGTGTACCCGCTGAAGAAGTATTTTAGTTACATAATGAGAGAAAGTGGATATTTCCATATTCAGGCAACTAAACCGGACACTGTAGGTAAGGATACTTATTTATTGGAGCTTCATTAAGACTGCTAGAGATTATTGAATAAAGTTTTTCCGAAAAGAGGTGTTGTTAACAATACTGCACGGTTGTGATTGCGAAAATTTCCGTAAGTAAGTCATGTAGTGCCTCAAAGTTTGTGAACAGTACTTTTAAATACTATGAGGAGGATCATGTTTGGGGTGCTTCTTGTAAATTCCTTAAAGGAGAAAAGGCTTGAGTTTCTGTGAACAAAATTATTACTAGCAAATGGTAATGCGTTGTGTGACAAAATCGGAAAATGTGTCCCGAGTGTCGGAGCAACGTTCTATAAGTAAACAAATGAGACCTCGGCCATGATCTTGGGCAACACAATATTGTAGACTGTATATTAATAAACTACAAAATACTTACTGTTTCTCGATTCACGTCCATATGCCGACAGTTATTGAGTATAAAATTCAATGAATGTTTTTAGTTCAATATGAATTTTTGATTCAATCGGTAGTCGTAACTAGAGAGTGGATTTTGAATTGATTGGATTGGACAATATAGTAATTTGACTATTGGAATTGTTCGTATATTGCTTTGGTCAAGAAAAAATTTGACGTATAAAACGTTGCTTAATTTATTGTTGTTTCAGGTGTTGGCCTCACGGATTCACCATCTGGTTTGGCGGCTTATTTGATGGAAAAAATGGCCATGTGCAGTAACAGTGAGCAGTTGGACAAACCACACGGTGGTCTGGCTAACCTTGACCTGAACGATGTGCTGGACACAGTGACCATCATGTGGGCCAACGAGTGCGTCGTGACCGCTACGAGATTGTATGCAGAAAGCTTCTTTTACCCAGAAATAAATATTTTACAAGAGTAAGTTTAATTTTTGGTATTATTATTGAGTAGTTATTAAGAAGTGGAGATTCATTTCAATTGTAGGGGAATGCTTCGACACTTCGACTTTATTATAGAAACGGAATCTTGATTTTTTTACCTAACTAACGCTGTTCGAGGATGTCCGACTAGTTTCAAGCAACAACTGGGGTTCATAAACATTAGCAACACACGCTGTGACTAACATCACCCAGTAAACTTCTATTTAATACTTTGTATTTCAAGCCTTTGCTTCTAAACAGTGAGGTAACTTCAATTAGTTTTAAACAAAAGTCTGTCAGATAAAACCTTAAAACACATATAAAGAACGAGTGAGGTATTATACTTAGTTGTTTACATTTCTTTACTATTTGGAGTTCATATTTTTCAAGGATATTCCATGTGGATGTAAACAAGTAATTATAATAAACACTGTTGTACATGTGACTACTTTATCTACTGGCTTGTAGTTATTGACAAGATAAAGACACCTTAATAAAGATTTTTTTTCTAATTGGAAAAAAAGGAGCAATACATGAAATTGTATGGCGGTTAAGTGTTTTTTTAATGTGGAAAAACTTATATCTACAATACATACATAACATCACGCCTTTTATCCCCGAAGGGGTAGGCAGAGGTGTACATTATGCCACTGTACAATGTAACACTCACTTTTCACTATTTATGTTATAAGTCCAATGCTACTACTGAGAATTTATAAATATACACAGTAGTACTTTGCCCGACCCGGGAATCGAACCCGAGACCCGGCAGTCGCACTTGCGATCACTTGGCCACCGAGACAGTCATATCATAATATTAGAAAATAAACTTAATAAATTTAATAAATCAATGAATAAAATCGTGTTTTAATAGACATGTAATACACAACCATTAATATTAATTAAAAATCTTTCTTTCTATTACAGTATACCAACGGAAGTTCCAATGGCTGCCCTCAAATTCCTATACGAAGTTGTCTACCAACCTGACTGGATAATTAGGGACAAGTTCCCGAACTTAGTCAGATCTACCGTTATCGATTATGGCGGGCATTTTGCCGCTTTACATACGCCTAAAGAATTTGCTGACGACATATTCGCAGCCGCTGAAGCCTTCATCGAGTTCCATAAAAAAGAAAAGTAAAATGACATGAGCGCCATCTAGTAACAAATTCTGTATTTTTTTCTAACGATCACTGTTATGAAAATTTTATTTATTTAACGTCTGGCTTATAAATACACAATACAGCCAATGATTTTAATGATATAATAAAATTAATTAAATTATTGAATGGCACATTATGAATAAAAGAAGATAAGTATTTGTACCTAATTAGAAAAAAAGGACCAACTTATTATAGATTTTTTTTAGTATTTGACCAATAGTCATCCGTTAAGTTATGACATGTTATTAACATATCGATAGCTTGTCAAAGTTTGTAATTATTGTTATTAATTAGTATTCAATGATTGATTTAAAATTTTAAAGTATGTATTAAAAACCTGATGTTATTTCAAAGTCATTCGAGGTAGATTTTAGAATTATTATTTATCGACATCGACATTTAAATAAATTTCATTTTTAATAACAATTCACTGAATATTTTTTTATAAATGGATATAGGATTTTTATTATGTATGAAAATAATTTGACATTAATACTTATTTACAGATTTTCAATATTTTTTTATACTATTTTTTTGATAAATAATGTACATACTAGATATAAGAAGGATAATAATTAGTTGTATATTAAAAATGTTGTATAAACGAACCTGTAAATATTTTAGTTAGCTTCTTGTTGTAATTCTAAATAAATAATATATAAAATCCAGTTGTTAGAACAAATAGTTACGGAGCATTAAAAAATATTGTTCACATGAAATTTATGAACAAAAGTGTAAAATGTTATTTCAATTACATTAATGATTTTCTGTTACCATCTTTAAGAATAAAACTAGCTTATGTTATACCTTCGTGAGATATGCATGATTATAAAAGGCGAAGCATAGTTTTCCTATCCGTTAAGTATCCTATTATATTGACCTTGTAGCTAGACATTTAGAAATGGGGGCATGTTTTCGGATAAATACTCGAGTAAAAATTGATGAATCAGTCAATCAGTATTTGTTACATTTTGAGTATTCATCCGAAAAAAATGAAAAATTGTTTTAAATTGTATAACGATATATTCGCAGCCTTTATTTTTCACTTTTTAATCCCCAAACAACTCCGTCAAGAATTCCAGTTTTAAAATGTTAATTAAGAAAGTTATACAGAATGTTGGTTAAAATAATATTAATGTTTTTAAAATAACCTTGTATGTATGTAATTAGAAAGACTGCTAACTGTCAAGTATTTAAGGATAGTGTTAAGTATTTTAAAAATAAAGTCAATAAAACGAGATTACACCTGTTGCCATGGCCATGCCAAAGTCGACTTTGTATTCTTACCTTTGTAGATCATTTTTCAAACGCAAGACCTTGATGAAATACAGTAGGATAGAAATGAGTGGACTTTGTTGTTCGTCGTTAAAGGGTGTATTTTTTAAAAATAGATAACATCCTTTTTTTGTCGGTAAACACGTTAAGTCACCGGTGACCGAAGCGACGTTAGCGACGGCTTTGCCATTGGCACTCACAGCCTTAAACAATCTTGTTTTCTTGGCTTTATATTAATTATGTAGTCTTACATTAGTTTTAAAAAAAATATCAATAAGTTATTAACAACATTACTTAGAAAGTGAGTGTTTAAACTTTATTGGTTTTGTTGTTTTCCGGTTAAATTTGTTATAAAGATTATATAATTGTTACAAAACCGCGATAAAATTAGGCGCGTGCCTTACCGCCCGATTTGTCGAAAAGAGAAGAAATTGCTTTTATTACTGCACAAAATTAAATTGTCATACTAAAAAAATATTGTTTTACACTGCTGGTATTGTTTCAAGGATATTTAAAAAGTTTTATGCAACAGCTTGGGTTAACGGCATTGGCTGGTTATTGCCTTGTGTAGATAGTTTTAGCAAAAATGTACAGCAATTAAAATATTTTTGTATTTATTTAAGAATGCATGTTTTATTGGAAAAAAAGAATTGAGATGCTTGAAATTTTAACTTACAACTTGTTTTATTTTGTCCTTCAACATCATCACCAGCCTACAATTGGCTGCTACTGACCGGAGGTATCTTCTCGCATGGAGAAGTTTGAGCATTATTCACTCAATGCGGGTTGGTAATTTCAAAGTTGAAAAAAATATATATAAGCCCAGGTTTCCTCACGATGTTTTCCTTCACCGTTTGTGCTTACCGTTAGAAAGTGCTTACAACTCAGAAAAAGTCGCATTGGTACTTGTTGTTGGTAGGTTTCGAACCCTTACTCCCATGTATGAGAAGCGGACATTTTAAAATTACTACGACATCGTATCGCGTAAAAAAAAGAACACTTAGTTCTCTGTATGACTAAACTTCGAACAATTTATGCACACGATAAAGTAAAAACAAACTTCATCCTTATAGATAAAGTTCCTTAGTTTTATGCAACCAAATATGAAATAGACATACCTGCTTTTCTTTTATGAATTCTTCAACTTCTTTCGGCGCGAAGAAGCCAGGCACCATAAAATCTTTCCTTGGACTAAAATGTTCTATCTTCATCCTTCCAGCCAGATTGAACCTTTCTCCAGCATAGTAAAGGTTTCTGAAATAGAATAGTGGTTTTTATTACTATTGTTTGAAAGCTTATTGTTGAATGAAGTACATTTTCTTAAGTACATAATCTTCGGCAAGGGTGGGGCAAAGTATAATTTTGTTATTCTCCGTTTATGACAAGATCTGTGCTATATTTATTGTTTTAACTAACGTTTTGTATTTAACACTTATCTTAGTTGCTTTTAAAGGTAGTTACGAAGCGAGACAGTTTAAATTGTTATTGAGTTTTGTTTATCATCTCAAAAATCTTTGTGAATTTGTCCAAACTAATTTACACTTTAAATCTAATAGCTTTATAGTCTATAATCAGAAAACATAAGAAAATCGTGAGCTTTACATAAATTAAGATTATTATTATTACCTGTTGCTTATCAATCGTCCTTTTATATTTGTTAACTGTCCTTCATTGAGGGTTGGGAACTTATGGTATAGGTAGAGACTGGCTGCGAATTTCAGGAAGGCGTCTCCCAAGGTCTCCACTCGTTCTAAATCGAACGTGTCATGTGACTTGATAGTTGTTAGTGCTGCTATAACATCTCGTAGTTCAGGACTAGTGCCTATTGTCGTCCTTTTGAGGATTTGAATCTGATCGTTGTATCTAAAATATTAGAAAATTGTTTAAAGTGGTTCTTGGAACTAACTGCTTCATTGACCTAGTGGTCGTAAGTGCAACTGCCGGGCAAGGGTTCCCGGATAGGGCAAAGTATTACTAGGTTTTTAAAAAATTCTAAGCAGTAGCACGGAGTCTAGAGTTGTGCCCGGTATGTGGCAATAGGCTCACCCCCTACTACATGGAACTCATAATATGAATAGTGAAAAACATATATACGATCGAATTGACAACCTTCTCCTTTTTTACATTGTACAATGGCATAATGTGCACCTCTGCTTCATCTTCGGGCCTTCGGGAATAAAAGACGTGATGTTATGTTATGTTAGTTCTTGGAGCTATAATGGAAATGGAATATCAAAACGGATGGTTGTCTTTTATTATTATTCTATTCAACTATTCAGAAACACTCGAAAAAAAGTAACTATCGATGTTTTGCCCTTTATCCAACTATATTGAGAGGGATTTGAGATTTACACAGATGAATTTTTACATGCATCGTTGTAAAAGACACAGTCACAACTTAGATTTCGTTACATTATCATGACAACTTTACCTAAATACATAAATGGCCTGAATCCCATAAAAATTTGGTGTCAAGAGATTTTGACTTGTATTGCTTTGGAATAACGTCGAAAACGTATTAAACGTGCTCTATCATAATCTATCTATCGTATAACAAAATACTTACTCGGCTGGTGCAGCTGATATAGCGGCGGAGTGGAACACAGTTTGACGAGGAGGCTGTATATCGTAATGCAACGTCGATACTAATGGAGCTGACACAAACTCGTCGTAACATTCCACATCCAACACCGTCACAGTAGAAAGATTACGTTCTATATCTAGCGGCTCCGTTTTGTCCTGGTAATCGAAAAATAATGTCAAATTGTGAACAACTTTTTTGTGCTCGTAATTATGAACCCCGGTTGTGGTTCGAAAGTAGTCGAGCATTCTCAAATAGTTTACTAGAAAGCTGAACGTTCTAATTACCTGAATATTAAAGTTTTTTTACTAAATAAGTTCCGTATTTAATCATAATTGCCCTTTAAAGATAATTTATGATACGCTACGAATATTGGGAAGCGTATTAATAAAATTAATAAATGACAATCGATTTTGAACCTTTCAGTATTAGCATTAACATTCCCTTATAATGTTTGGATTTAGGCTTACTAAGAAGTTTATTACACAAAGCACATTCCATTTGTTATCATATAAAATTACTTACATCCCAAGGAAATTCCTTGTTAAGTTTCTTCTGTTGCAGATGATACAAGTTTTCCTTCATAGAAAGTATTTTGGGACGTCTTCCGCTTTCGTCATCCATAGGATTGTTTATTCTAAAACAAAAACAAAATAAATAATGGTTATTAAGACCTAGCTAAAATAATTTAATCGTTTTCGAGATTAGAATTAAAAGAAAATATCGTCTCCATTGCGCTAAGACCTCTGAATGGTGAAAATACAACGAATTATGACAAATGTTACTATAAAACAGAATTCTATGGATATCACTATAACGCCCGAATACTGAAAATACTTAAATATCGTGCCTTCTCTGTCATTTTACAAAGAATGTTACTTAATCGCGACTTATAATTGAGTAGCCTTTGAGTATTCGGGCATAAGACGCATTACACATTATGTATTCACATTCACATAGTATGAAAATATGAAAATATAAAAGTATTTTTTAAGATAGGGTTACCTGTCAACCGAAGCAACCTGAGGTGGTTCTTCAACTTGAGCTAACAGGGAATTGGTAGCAACCTGAATGTGAGTCTCAATCGGCAACCAATCTTCAGCTGTAAATAAATACAAAAAA